CATCAATGAGACAAAACAGGAGTTCATGGGCGCCCTGGCCAAGGTCGAGGAGTCGATGGGTGCCCTCTCCAAGTCCATCAAACGAGGCTGGGAGTCGATGGACCACAAGCTCGAGAGCCGCCTCACCGCCTTCGACGAGAGGCACTCAGCACAGGAAGCCAGGATCGACGTCATGGAGGCACAAATCCGATCTTTACAAGCGGCCCTTGATGTTGTTAAGTCTGATAATCCAGTGCCTCCCCCCACCAGCATCAATTTCGACAGGGAGATCGACCACTCCATCCTCATCTTCAGGACCAAGCTCTCCTCGACTCAGTCCGACGTGCTCGCCAGCCTGCAGGGTTGGCTCCAGCGCGCCAATTTGGACCCAACGGAGTACGAGATGGAATCCGAGCCGACCACCACCAAGCACATCATGCGGATCAAGGGCAGTCGACCCTATGGTGCGCGGAAGGTACAACAGGCTTTGGGTGCTCTCCGCAAAGCCAACAATGAATGGGAACGGTTTTCTGTCCTCAGCGCTGGGAGTCAGCAGCAGCAGGAGATCTTCATCCCGCCAGATAAGAACCAGGCCCAAGTCAAACGTGATTTGGGAGTCAAATATGCACGGCGTGAATTGGAACGATTATGTCCTCATCAGAAGTTTTTCAGTGACGAGCTCAAGGGAGAAGTGTCCTGCCAATGGCGACCGTTGGTACGTATCGACCCTCGTGCTGAGCAGGAGCCCGCAATTTCCTTCTCGAATGAGAACCTGGCGTACTTCGGCATCTCCAAGCCGGCGCTCAGCGATGCCATCAAGGCTAACTACAGGCAGACGGAGGGCACATCATGGAGTGTTTAGCCCTCTTCTAGGCGCTTGGCAAGAACGGTCTGGTCGCAGCGTGCCCCTGCGACTCGTGACTTGGAACGCCAGGGCCCTTTTTCACTTCAAGGTCGCCTGCGAGTCAATAAAGCTACGCAAGGTACGCTCTTTGTGGCGACCTGGCTCGTTTGTTGCGCTGCAGGAGACGCACGGCACCCGAACGGAGCTTCGGGACTTCCTCTACCACTCTAACTCCTGCTTCTCCGCCCACTCCTCGTTCTGTCCCAGTTCTCGTCGGGCAGGTGGCGTCATCACTCTCATCCCCAACTTCGGTTCGTTCTCGAGCATCACCCCGACTATCCATATCCATCGGCATATTCCTGGGCGTGCTCTGGAGGTCTTCGTGCGGTTTTCGGACACTATCTGGATCAGCCATTTCAACTTACACATGCACGGTTTATCTGTGAACGAACGTTGTCTTCTCGCATCGGTGTCTCGCGATCGTCTCTCTGACTCACAACTTTTTCCTACCTCGCGCCTGGTGGTTGTGGCTGGCGACTTGAACCTCGCCGACAAAGCCCCTGAGCTCCTGGGCGCGGCCCCAAGCCCTGATCCCACTCTTCCTGCTCAGGTTTGGCGTGCTACGAAGGACCCGATCATTAGCCCCATCCTCTCCTCCATGACCGAAATCGACACCCCAGACCCCGCGCACTACAATAAGGACCTGGGGACCCTGAACACCATAGACAGGATCCCTGTCTCGTTCCCAGGCTGGGTCTGCAACCAGGTGCACATTAGTGGCCAGGTAGTCGAGTACCCTGAGGTCTTATCCTCGAAGGGCATCTCTGACCATGCTCGGCTCGTGGTCGAGATTGCGCGCAGCTTCCCCATCCCAGCGAGGCAACGGCCTATGCCGAAAGAAGTTTTCCGACAAGAAGAATACGCTGAATATCTCAAACAGGTTCAAGATAGAACGGATACTACCTCTATGTCTCCTCCTCTACTACTGGAATTCCACGCCCGTATCATGAGGGAAGCTGCGCAGTATGCACGGGGTGCTATGATCGTGAAACGCCCAGAGTCGGTGGCCAGCAGATTTCTCATCATCAAAAGCATATGTCGGGCTGTTTGGCGTCAAGATGTTGGTCTGACAGAACGACTCAGGGCGTCGCGCCATCTAGCTAGGCACTAGTTAAGCGTTGAACTCCTTGAGCGGCGAGCTCAACTTCTGCATGGCTTTGAGTTCCACGCATCTGCCGAAATACATCGTCAAATTGCCGAACAAGATCAACGCGAAGTTCGACAAGCCATCCGATCGAATCCCGATTCGAAACAAGCAATGAAACTTCGAAGGCGGATGCGAGGGCTCATAGCAAGGTCGCGCCTGCGGTCACCTTTCGGCAGGCGTCTTGTGCTGCGCGGAGTTCGGCGCGCAGGAGGGGTCTGCACGGAGCCTGAGAAAATGACGAACCTCCCGGCTCACTGTTGGCGCCCTGTCTTCTCGCATAAGCCGATTGCTACAGCCAGTGCTCGGAGATATCTTGAGGAGTTCGGTCCGCGAGCCGATCTCCGTGACCTTCCGCCGCCCGCTCTCAGAGGCCTTCAGAGGTACGTGGACTCCCAGGTGCACTCCGCTCCAGGACCCGATGGTTTGCCGTTCGTTGCCTGGCAACGGCGCCCGTCTGGTGTTCGCGTTTTAGACAAAATGTTGCGGTGGATCCTGGCGGGAAACATACCCCTGGCCACGTTCAACGACCTTCGGAAGGTTTTTGCCCCCAAAGGCACCGAGGAAGGAGATGACTATCATTAGGAGTGGCTCCTAGACAAGGCCCCGGGGATTGAAGAATACGTCAAACAAAATCCTGACGGGCGTTGCGGTCCGAGAGCTGAGTCGGTCCCTGGACTCGTTTATCCACAAGATCCAGCGGGGCTTCCTAGGAGGGCGGAACTTCGGGACCAACTTTCTAGAGCTAGACACATACTCCAGGATCTTCAGCATGCAGGGCCCCAGGGGCGACGCTGCCATTTCTCGCAAGCCTTGTTTAGTGGCTTTTGATTATGGTCAGGCTTCTCCCTCCATCGCTCATGAATGGATATTCTTATGTCTCCGATGTCTGCAGTGACCGACTCCTCTCTTCTACTTCTTCTGGTGCTTGTATCAGAATGTGCGGACCTTCACGTTTGCGGCGAACGAGCTGATGTTCGCGTTCATGTTCGAGGGCGGGATCATTCAGGGCTGCCCGGCCTCTGGGGCGCTCTATGCGATTGCGCCCCGCGCCTTCTTAGCCGACGTCGATAAGATACTCACTCCTGGAGCGGCCACTGGTGTCAGGACAACCAGAAAATATCATGGTCGAGTTCATGGGATCGCTCGAGCTTGTGCGGATGACATCGGGGCAGCACTACACGCGCTGGCTCATCTTTGTCGACTGAAACGGCCATTCGATCTGAGCCGAAAGTTAGCAGGCCTCACTCTGAAGGTCTCAAAGTGCTATATAGTCCTCTTGGGTGGCCAGTGCACTCCAGAGCTGACTCAAACGTTTAAGGACTGGTTGGTCGCCAACATTCCCGAGTGGGGGGCCTTCCAGATTGTTCCGTTTCTGACGTACCTCGGCGTTGTCTTGGGCCCGGGGGCCTATCTTGAAGCCTGGAAGGCCCCCCTTGAGAACTGGTTTCGTCGCGGTGGGGAAATAGTCAGAGCTCGATCCCCCACTGCTGTCACTCAGTATCTGTATAGTAAGCGAGCTGTCCCCACCTTGTCTTATATAGCACAATACATGCCGCTGCCTAGCAAGATAGACAACTGCGATGTGTACAGACGCGAGCACGCTTTGCTCGCCGCCTTGTTTCGCATGCCACACTGTGCGTTCTCTCGAGCGGATTTCTTCGGGTGGTGGGAGTGGGGTGGACCTCGGATCCCCAGCATAGCCATCACAGCTGCCGCCACGCTTCTCCGAACTGCTCTAGTCACTTTGCCTGACTGGCGAGCCCTGTTCACTACGCTTGCCGCCGCTGCCCAGCAAAACTTAAGCCTCCTAGATATCGCTGCTGGCCAATTATCTCCCAGTCACTGGCGCTCACTGCCGCTAGTTCAGAATTTGCAGAATGCAGCCTCAGGATTTGATGGCGGCCCACTATTTGCCTGTGCAGGTAATGAAGTATGTCCAGCTGCCTGTCGGCCACTGGCCACGGCGGATCCACGACGGCCGAAGCCGAAGATCCAGCGAGAGATTGCCGAGATGCTTCGCCAGGCTGTGTTTCCCAACTCTTTTGGAGACGCGCGTGGGCGAAGATATTGCGGTTGGTTCCCCGCGCTCAGCGCCAAGATAGCCGCCGTCGACTGGTCTGCCGTCCAAGCGGTTTTGAAATCCCAACCAATTAGCTTTAGCAGTGCTGTTACCAAGACCCTTGCTGGTGCTTGGGTCGCATCCGTTCGTTTTCATGATATCAATGTTAGAGGCTGTATATTCGGGTGTGGAGGCCCTGACATTACTGGTCTCAATCCCCCAGATGTCTCGTGCTCCTGTATTGGATTTCTCACCCCTTCCCTCTTCCTCCGTGTCCTCTCGAGCGTCTTGGTGTGTGTTCCCCCATTCGTCTCTCCCTCGAACCGTGTGCTGCCTCTCTCACTTTGTATGCCACTGCGCACTCTCTCCGACCCTCGGTCGACTTATTCCACCCTTTAACCGAGGAGGAGTCAGAGAGTCTTTGACCGCAGGTCAGGGCCAGCCTGGCCAGAAAGCGGCAGGCAAGCCCGTGAGACGAACCCGAGCGCCCCCAGCCACGAGCCAGGAGGAGGAGGAGGAGAAGGAGGAGGAGGGGGAGGGGGAGGAGGGGGGGGGGAGGAGGGGGAGGAGGAGGAGGAGGAGGAGGAGAGAAGAGAGAAGGAGGAGGAGGAGGAGGAGGAGAGGAAGGAGGAGGAGAAGGATGAGGATGTGGATTAGAAGGAGGAGGGCGAGGAGGTGAAGGGGGAGGAGGAGGCGGTGGTGGAGCAGGAGGAGGAGTAGGAGAGTAGTAGTAGGAGGAGGAGGAGGAGGAGTAGGAGGAGGAGGAGAAGGAGGCGGAGGTGGCGGATGACAGGGAGGAGGTGGAGAAGTCGGAGGAGGAGGAGGAGGAGGAGGAGGAGGAGGGAGGAGGAGGAGGAGGAGGAGGAGGAGGAGGAGGAGGAGGAGGAGGAGGAGGAGGGGGGGGAGGAGGGGGGGGAGGAGGAGGAGGAGGAGGAGCGGAGGAGAAGGAGGAGGAGGAGGAGAAGAAGGAGGAGAGGAAGGAGGAGGAGAAGGGAGGAGGAGGAGGAGGACGAGAAGGAGGAGGAGGAGAGGTGGAGGAGGAGGGAGGAGGAGGAGGGAGGAGGAGGGTGAGCAGGAGGAGGAGGAGGAGGAGGAGGAGGAGGAGGAGGAGGAGGAGGAGGAGGAGGAGGAGGAGGAGGAGGAGGAGGAGGAGGAGGAGGATCTGGAACACTATAGCATTATTTATATAGCACGCTACGAATCAGAAGGATACGACGAAGAGAAAACATACTACTCATGCAAAAATAAGACGAATACTATTGAGAAAAGACGCATCGCAATACTAACATCAAGAATAGTAATACTAAGAAGACGGATGACACCAGTACTATTGATTCATCAGACTGGTGCTAATACTACTAGTAGTACTATTGCCCATGCAGTTAACGATACGAACGTACTAATGACGACGAATACTAATAAGACGAATCATGTGAGCCCGGCTCCTAAGCATAATGCGAAACATAATACAGCGAATAAGAAGACGACTGATAGTAAGAGTAATACTAAGAAGAATAATGTAACGACAACTAAGACGCCTGGGGTAGATTTGTGAACGTGTTTGGTAGTTCGCAAATAAAATAAATCAGACACATTGTGTGGACGTGCACCGACCAACCTATCGAGAAGCGCTTGCGCAAGAGTATTTGAGAATGGGCTTCTCCAAGGGCGAGGTGCGCATGGACAAGGCGGAGGGCAAGCTCGGCCCCGTCCTCTCGCCCCTGTCCGCCCCCTGCCAACGCGCGCGCCTAACTAGCGGGGCCTGGTGGCTCACGCCCCGCGGCCGTGCTTCCCCCGTTGCCCCCCGCCCGCATGCCTGCCTGCTTGCCTGCTTGCCGCCCCCGTCCTCTCCTCTCCTCTTTCCTCCTCCTCCTCCACCTCCTCCTCCTCCTCCCTCCCCCCTCCTGGGTCTGGAGGCCGCGCGTCCGCCTTTTGTCCGTCTGCTGAGCGCCCCCCGCTGGGCCTCCTTGCGGCTCAGCGCTCTACGAAAGCACGCCGTCCCCCCTCCTCCTTTCCTCCTTTCCTCTTTTCCCGCCTCCTCCTCTGTTCCCTCCCGCGCGCAGCGTGCCGCGCGCCGCGCGGGCGGGCCGCGGCTACTGGCGCGCGGCTTCTTCCTCCTTGCCCTGTGGCCGTTCTGCGGCTTCCGGGCTCTCATAAGCCGACATTCCCCTCTCGTCGTTCCTCTTCGTGTCCCTCGTCTTTCTCGCCTTTCCTGGCCTCGTGGCCTGTCCGCTTGTCGTCCTCGTCGTTGTCGTCTCGTCTTCTTCCTCCACACGTTCTCGCCGACTTGCCTTGGCTGTGCTGGCTTCGGTGCGACGCTGTAGCATCGAGGGGTCCCCTTCCCATCAGTTGGGAAACTGGCGATTTTTAATTGTTTCTTTTGTTTCAAAGGAGCCTGCGCCTCCTCTGGGTGCGCAGGCTATCGGCCACGCGGCGGGGACAGATGCCTGCCGCTCCGATGTGATCCTCGTGTGGCGTTGGACTCCCCACCCCTGGCGCGCGAACAAAAAATGGGCAAGCTCGCGGTTGCCAAGGATTGGGTGATACCAGTTAAATAATGCCATGAGCAAGTCGACCCAGTGATCATGAAAATGACGTTGGGAACATTGAGGGGTGGGAGATCAACGACACCCAGGAAAAAAGGCATCACCTCACTTCTCGAACCAGTTGCGCTTTGGGACTCGAGGGGCGCATCGGTATTTATACCATCATAAGCTATTGAGGGGAACTGGGTAATTTTCCATGCTGGCCCGTACCTTGCGGCAGGATTACCTCGTAGAGTTTCAATCGCATCAACGTAGACCAGCCGGGTAAGCTGTGCGACATAATTCCCCGCAGGTGGAACTTTGATCCTGTGGCACTCTGTCTCCAAGGGACTCACTGCCGATGGTCGCGGGTCTTTGATGTCGAAGGACTTCTCCTCCTTTTGGGGCAGGAAAACGACGCATGAGAATGCGCAGGAATTGAATTCATGCTGTCCCCAAGTGCAAACATGGTATCCAGGTTACGTGCAAATATACAGCCGAACGGCAAAATTACGGTTGCTGGTTTTTGTTGGCATATTGGCGTTCATCATTGCGTTCGCTAGGGCCGATCAACGCGATTATGGAGGACGCCGCGGCTACTCTACACATTTGGCTGCGTTTGCTCGTGGCTGCCGGCCCCATGGGGCAACGTTCGTACAGGATGATATCAACGCCCCACTGTTGCAACAATGAGGTGACGAAGATGCTGTGGTAGGAGATGTTTTTTTTTTTTTTTTTTTTTCCATGACCATTGTTTGGGGCCCTATTTCCAATCGGGTATATCTCTTGTGATTGCCCCACGCACTCAAAGCGCGCGCTTAGATTATTTTCGCATATCAGACAAGATGGCGGGCAGATGGTGGCGTATCATGACGCCAGCATTCATCCATCAAGTCCCATTGTGCCTGGTTTTGTGAGCAGCTGGAGTCATTGAGGAAAAGACGCGGTCTTCGACCATGTGTGTCATCGGGAACGATCGGGGCGATTTAGTCGAATTCCATTTTTATGAACATATGCACAAGTTGTGGATTTGAACTTTAAAGCGCAGCGAAGCCAGTCGCAGGAAAAAGGAATCTGATACTCGACCTGAACGCGTTGAGAGCCGAGAGTGCGAAGTTGGCATGCATGTTCAACTTTGCGGATAACTGGCAATCTCTTGCTACGCGCGCGACTTTGGAAGAGAACGCCTCGGCGCTATGTCAGTGCATGCGGAAATTTGCGGCTGCGACCGCGCCGATGCAAGCGTCGCCGCGCCCGCGCTTTTGGGCATCGAATCGCGCGGCCCGCCCCATCGACGAGCAGAACTGGGCTCGGCAAGCGGCGGTTGCAGCGGGGAGCTACGCCGAGAACCATTTGAATGCGATTATCCGCAGTTCTGCCAGTGCCGACAGAAAGCAACGTCTTACGTGCAGTTTTCGGAAAACGGGCGGCAGCGTGCGGGTGCGTTGCGAAAAGGCCCTGTTCTCAAGCGTGTGCATCTCCAGGATATAGACGGCCGGCCAATTGGTAGACGCTCACCAGCGGGCGAAACAATGGCGGATTCTCTGGAACAGATTCAGTGGCGCTCGCTATCAGACAGAGTAAATTTCACGCGCGAGTCCGGCGAATAAGGTTACCGACG